CGGCGGGAGGGGTGGGAGGGGCGTGAGAACAGGGAGGTGCTTTCCTCTCTCGGACCGGAGGACTAAGGAAGGAGGGGAAGGGAGGAAGAGGAGGAGGGAGAGGCGGAAGAAGGAGGAAGGGCTAGCGAATTGGCAAAATCACCAAAACAGGAACGAAGGCGTGAGGGAGGGACGCCTGGGGGGGAGGGGATGCCAGCTGGACCTCCCCGCGGCCACCTCGGGCCTCTCAGCCTCGGACGCATATATTGAGAATTCGGTAGGAATCGCCGAACACGTTCTCACATTTCTTATTTCGGAGGGAAAAATAAATCGGCGAGGAATAAACCACGTCGAGGTGGACGATGGGGTGAGAGCGTATATATGTGCAGGGGAGAGGAGCGGACCGGACCGCGGAGTCGGAGAGGAGCGGCGCGGAGAGGGAGGCGGTGCTGGCGCGGCACTTTTTAAGACGGCCGTGAGACCAGTCAATTAAACGTGTAGACAGTTCATTGTGCGCGGCGTGGCGGGGCGTGGCGGGCACTGGGGAGGGGAGGGGGGAAGAGGAGCGGAGGGGAGGGAGATAAAGGGGCAGTACGGGAGACAATTTACAGTGAAAAGAGGAGGTGGGGTGAGAGGTGTGGGCGCGGGGGAGGGGTGGAAGGAGGGAGAGAGGGATAGCCGAACAGGACACGAGAAAGGGAAGGGAAGGCGAAGGAGGGCAGGGAAGGGGTGTGAGGGCATTTTGGACGATCGATTCAGCTGGCCATGGGTCTCCTAATTCTCTGTCCGGCTCACTCCCTTCCTCCTCTCCCCGTTTCTCCTCTTCCTCCTCTATTCCTTCTCCTCTCTGCCCCGTCTTTCTAGGTCTCTCTCTCTCGCTCTGCCTACCCCTTCCGGTGCGCGCGTCCTCGTCCCTCTCATCACACATGCATAGAATGGCGATGAGGCGGAGGGCGAGGGGGAGCGGGAGGGCGAGGGCCGGGCGGAGCACCGTCTTGGCCTGGCCGTGGGCCTGGCCCAGCACTAGTTCCACCGCCGCCCCGCCGCACGCTAATACCACCGCCGCACCACCGCCGATAACATTTGCCGAAATCACCATAAATTTGGGGAATGACGTGGAGCCGGCCTATCTATCCCGGGCCACATCTCCATCCGCCGGCCGCGCCGGGGCCGCGCTGTCCACCGGAAGGAAGACAACGCCCGACGGACCAGAACTTTGCCAACAACATGGGCGGTAGGGGCGGGGCGAGGGCGGCCAAACCCAAAACAACTTCAATTAGCCCCCAATATTTGATAACGACGTTATTTCTACGGGCGCGGCTGCTGATGTGTCGGGGTCACTGTGCGTGCCCGTGTAGTGCGCCTGTGCGGCCGCAGGGCCTGGAGCGGGCCTGGCCTCACGGGAGCCTTGCAGGGCTTTGCAGGGGGGCATTGCAGGGCGGCGGGGGAGCATTGAATCCATTCAAAGGGCGGCGGGGCGCGCCGCGGCGGTGCCACCACGGGGGCCGCGCGTGAGGCCGCGCCGCGCAGAGCGAATCTCGTGCTAATGAGAACAGCGCCAGCCCAGCTCCAGCCCAGCGCCGGGCCAGGATAGCCCCCGGCAAAGGGGAGACACAGTACGTATACACGGCCGGACCAGACGGGGCCCGGCGGAGCAGAGCCGTGGTAGTGATGGTGACGGTAGTGCTGGTAGTGGGTGGTGGTGCGCCCGGGCGCTCATGGCGGAGGGTGGGCGCCACCTGCCCCCCTGGCACTGCATGGTGGTTGGCCGTCCGGCAGGGATATTCCTCGCGCAACGCCGCGCTGGCGGGCAGACGGTGCTCAGCGCGCGCAGTGTAGCCGTGTAGCCATAGCGGTAGCCCGGTGCTCACGATGTTGCTAGGTTAGTCAGCGGGAGCCACCCGCCTGGCGTCGCAGTCCTGGTCCTCGTGGCCTGCCGTAGTAGCTGGGTAGCCAGCCAACACAGGGCCCCCGCTCCCAACCCCTCCGCTCTCTATGGCTCCCCGCCGGAACCTGAGAACACGGAGGGAGCGGTGGGAGGGCGAGGCGGAGAGGGGGTGAGGGGGGTCGCACAACTTGCCAGCAGAACAGGTTTATATTCCATGAGGGGAATATAGGGCTTAGATCAGGAGCGAGGGGCATAAAACGGAACTCGACGACCCGGCGTGGGGCTGCGCGGCATGAGTACGTACCTGGGGTCCGGGGCCGCGGGCGGGGCACGCCGGCGC